AGCGGGAACAAAAATCTATTACATGTCGCTGGGACCAGGTTGAGCTAGCGAGACTGCGGTCGGACCGTCATTGGAGTTTAAGATGGTATAAGAACTTTGTAAATGAGGAGCTCGGCCCATGTTGCCGAAGATGCGGCCATGAAAAGGATGATATCAAACATTATGTTTGAGTGTCCAGGAACAATGGCAATTCGAATGGAGTTATTTGGACGAGCGGAGGTGCCACTAAGCATATTGACAATGAAGCCGAAAAAGAGCCTCGCTCTCGCTCGAAGATTTCTTCGTGAAGTCCGTCTGGCCCATTAAGGAAACAAAAAAAATCATCATCATCATCATATTCAGCTCATCACTATCTTCTTTAATCTTGTAAATACATATTTTGTATTTTGTTCGTTTGCAAGTGTCTTGGGCGGCCAGGTATCCCCACTGAGGTGTTTTGACACACATACGTGCCTATCGTATATAGTACGCATCAGTTTTGCTCTACTCTACTCTACGTGTATGTGTGTGTGTGGGGGGGGGTTTTTTGTGTGTGGGGGTGTGGGCGTGGGTGGGTGTGGGTGTGTGTATGTGTGTGTGTATGTGTGCGGGTGTGGGTGGGTGTGTGTGTGTATGTGTGTAGGGGTGTGTGGGGGGGGGGTTGTTTGTGTGTGGGTGTCGTACGAGAATGCTAACAGCAATTCTCTTGGCGTAGTAGAGCGACATTCTGTCATAAGTAGGTCTATCCGTGCGAAGCGATATCTAGATAATGATGAAGTTTCCCAGCCTTTAATTAAAAGCGATCTTTGAAGAAAAGTGTGCCTTGTTTCTCCATTACACTACATATTGTATATTATGTTTTTTTAAATGTTTCTCACAATCAGATTATGTTTCCGTAGATTATTGTGTCGGTGAGCACGGAGTCGTTTATTTACGACAACATCTCAGTTTTGAATCTTATTTTATAATATATTATATATGTATATATATACATATATATACATATATATAACTATATATATATGTATATATACATACATAAATAAATATGTATGTATAT